TGGGTCACCCATTGGCTGTAATTATATCTTCCTTGGGTTGCCACATAAGTGACAGTTGTCTCAATTCCAAAATCGATTTGGATCCACTGATTCAGATCATTCACTCCTGCTGCCCATGCGCCGCGTATGCCCTTGTAGTGTAGTCTTCCGTGGCTTGGGACAAGATTTTCATCATAGTGAGAGGACGCTGAAATCTGTGCCGGTGTTATTTTAAAGTTCTCCATCCCCAAAGGAGCCAGACACTCTGAACAGTAAAAAAAAAATGATGCTCATACATAGAAAGGTTTTATACAAGTTAGGATACGAAATAGTTTCAACAGAAGCAATCTTAGGCGTATTCAGAGATTTGCATTTCAGGAGAACAGAGATTTGTAGTCTATACAAAATTGGGCTGGAAATGGTTGTTTACCGTAAACCGGGACCTTCTAAAACTGAATGTACGACGTTTTCAGCCAAATGGATAAAATCTCCACATCCAGATTTACTTTTTGATGGAAATAAAATTACTGAGGTTTTTAATCATACCCACTGAGATGCAATTGTCTTATAATCTGTCTTGAAGAGCTCAAAGATTAGAATTCCGAAAGTAACGCCCCCCTCCCCCCCCCGAAAATAATAACGGCTCCCCTAAAGTAACTTTAATTTTTACCTTCCTACTGAATTGAACCCCGAAAGTAACGATGCTCCCGAAGGTAACGGCCCACCCGAAGGTAGCGACCCCTTTGGAGAAGTCACTAAAAGAGAAACTATGACCTCATAGTGCGGATGGATCAGCCTGACTGTCCCCAAGACTGAAATAACTTGAGTTATTTGAAACTTTAATTCGAACTTAACTGTAGTTTTCTTGAAACTATAATTTTTATGATTTTAGGATTTTAGGATTTTAGGATTGTATTTACTCAGTATACTCCTATTGACTAGCTAGAGCATTTGAAAACAACTCGCTTTTCTCCACGCTTGTCGCAAATTTCACTCTTTTCTTTACTCGTGCCGAGCGTTATAGAAAGTCATTTCTTCCGGCCACTACCAAACTATGAACTGATATTCACTTGGAGATTCGTTCATCCAATACAATCTCCTCTTTTAGGAGTGTGTTAGCTGTTCATTATAGAATTATTCGAATTCTGTGTAATCTTGAATTGTGTGAAGGGTCGCTAGGCATTGCAGAGTTTCTTTTTGGCACAGTACTTTTGAACATTTTGTTTAAATCGATCCAACAGAATCTCTCTTTATATAGAAGTACGCTTACAAAACAATACGTAATGTGGGTACGTTATGCTGAAATTTGCAGAGTTGTTAATCAAGGCCCATTCACATTCACAAATTGTGAGAAAAAATCAATAAAGGAGTTTTTATCTTGACT